CTATCTGTACCAATGTATATCCTCTGGTCTAGCCAGACTTGTAAGGTAGAATTGGGATCATGATAGTGGGGGGCTGATTGATTTTTATATGTTGTCTGCCACCCTGCTAAGTCTTTCCATTATTTCCAATAATTTTCTTGTCAAGTCTTGTGGGTTTTCTATGTATAGAATCATATAATCTGAAAATAGAGTTTTACTTCTTCTTTGCCAGTTTGCATGCTTTTTAATTTTTTTTTTATGTCTAGTAGCTCTGGCTAAGCCTTCCAGCACAATATTGGGTAAGAGCTGTGATAAAGCGTCTTTTGTCCGTTTCAGTTTACAAGGGAAAGCTTTCCATGGCACCATGCTGGCCATTGGTTTCCCACATACGGTGTTTATAATGTTGAGGAATTTCCCTTCTTTTTCTATTTTGATGAGTGTTTTATCAGGGATAGGTGTTGAGCTTTGTAATTACCTTTTCTATATCAATTGATATGATCATGTAGTTCTTTTCCTTTGTTTATATGGTGAATTGCATTGCTTATTTTTCTAATGTTGAACCATCCTTGCATACTTGGTATGAATCTTAATTGATCACTTCTTGGCCTTTTGGCTAAGATCAAGTGTAGAATCTTAATTGATCATGATGTATAAAAAATAATTGCTTTTAGCATGACTTTCAAGACTGCTATATATACTTGTATATAACAACATTTTATTTGCAAAAGTTAATATTGTAATTCTTAATGGTAATTTTCTTATTGTTAAAGTAAATTTGAAAGTTTGAAAGTTATTTCAGTTTTCAGTTGATGTAAATCGAAAGGGAATATTTAAATGTATATTAATTAAAGGATTGTTCCCATTTTCTTCTACAGATTTGGCTAGCTGATTGGCTGCTGGAAAATAACCCTAACAAACCTAAGCTTTCTCGCCGGCCAGCTTCAGAAGAACCTTATTAAAACAAAGTTCTACAAAGAACAAATGTCAAACTATATTATTATAAAAATTATGTACTTCTACTTTTTAAGAAATTAATTTTGAAAGATTTATGTACTTAATTTTTAGCAATTTAAATCACTGTTAAGTCACTTTTTTAAAAAGTCATTTTATTGGGGCTCTTATAGCTCTTATAACATTCCATACATCAATTGTATCAAGCATATTTGTACATATATTGTCATCATTTTCTACATTTGTTAAAACATTTTCTTTTTTTTTTTTTAATCATTTTATTGGGGGCTCGTACAATTCTTATCACAATCCATACATACATCCATTGTGTCAAGCACATATGTACATTTGTTGCCCTCATC